TGCAGGACCAACCCAGCAGCACCCCAGCTGCTCTGCTCCAGGCATCCCCAAGAGCAGCTGAGGTGCTGCTGGGTTGGTTCTCCAGCACCAAGGGTCAGCGCTACCGGACCAACCCGGCAGCACCCCAGCTGCTCTGCTGCAGGTGTCCTGATTCATCCGCTGCTGCATCCCCCCACCCTAGACCCCTCATAGCCCCCCCTTCCGATAGTCCGGCATATCTGATAATCTGGCACCCCCTGGGTCCTAAAGGTGCCGGATTATCAGAAGTTTACTGTATTATGTTGAAAACTTCTCTTTGTCATAGGTCTAATGCAAGAGAACTGGAAAGGGGTGAAATGTAAAAGCAAACAATATTGTACCTGTGCTATTAGTATGAACTGTGTTTCTTATTAATCAGTGTCGCCTATGTAGACATTAACACTGGATTTGTTCCTTCTGTCTTAGTTACATGATGGTGCTTACAGCCCTGTGTTAGATGCAACCTTTGTCATGGTAGCCCGTGATCCAGAAAACAAGAGGTAATTTATCTGTAAGGGACACCGTTGAATACTTGTTGCTGGAAATGACAAATGTTGTAACTTTTATGTGCGCTTTAGTTATAAGTAAATCGTATACTTGCCTCTCTCTTTTTTGGGGGGGGGAGGAGGAGGGAGGTTAGGACCGTGGTGTCCAGCTAGTTCTGAAGCAGTAGCCACTAATTGTTCAAGTCAACTAGCCACGCTTAACCAACCAAAGCCACATATGGTTAGTGGCTTGCATGTTGGACACCATGGGATTAGGAAATAGGCCGTATATTTTCAATTTCTTTTGAGGAGAGCTTGAGGGAGAGGAGGTCTACAGCTAGCTTTACAGAACTGTAGAGAGTACTGTTTTCAAACTATAATTAGCGTTAGACTCATTTCTAGAAATGGGTTTTCCCTGTTTAGACCTGATTACGTGACAAAAGGCAGTCTCATCTAGAACCAACCAGGGCTACGTCTGGATTGCACTGTTAAATCAGAAAAGGATATGCCATTTGCAGTACTCAAATTGCATATCTTTTTTTGATTTACTTTCGAAAGAGGCTCTTTCAAAATTTAGCACACTTACACGGCACCAAATTGTGAAAGAAAGTGCTCTTTCGAGCCATCCCTTATTCCTCGTAGAACAAGGTTCATAGACATGGGAAAAGAGCACATTCATTCTTTCAAAAAAATTTCAAAAAAGTGGACGCATTCCTTGGATGAGGCATTGCTTTTTCGGGATACATCCGGTATCCCAAAAAAGCAGTGCAGTCTAGATGTAGCCCAGAAATCTACTGTAATCATGAAAATTAATACCTCCTTGTATCAGTGGAGTGAAGGGCTGATCCTCATCTTGCAAATGGTCACTCTCAAATATAATTTTAATACCATACTGAGAAGGCTGTGAGTTCCTTAGAGGACTCTGTTAACACACAACGGCTGTGTCTGCACTGGGCCACTTATTCCGGAAAATCAGCCGCTTTTCCGGAATAAGCTGCGAGCTGTCTACACTGGCCCTTGAATTTCCGGAAAAGCAACGATGCTCTACTGTACAAAATCAGCCGCTATTCCGGAAAAACTGTTCTGCTCGGGCATAAGTCCTTACTCCGGAACACTGTTCCGGAAAAGGGCCAGTGTAGACGATCGGGGCTCTTTTCCAGAAAAGCGCGTCTACATTGGCCACAGATGCTTTTCCGGAAAAGCAGCCTGCCAATGTAGACGCTCTTTCCGGAAATACTTATAACGAAAACTATTCTGTTTTAAGCATTTCCGGAAATTCATGCCAGTGTAGACACAGCCAACTTGTTTAAGTAATAACTGGGCCTGTGTATTTTAAAATTCTAATTTACATTCTCCATCTTATTTCCCACTTTATTTTGCTTGGTTATTTAAGCCAAGCAAACTGATTTTCTCTTTTGCCTTATATGGCACTAGTATTACTGGGGAAGGTTTAAGTAAAACTTTTTCTTCCTTGTTTAGTTTGCAATTTTCAAAAATCTTAAGTCTTTCTATTCATAATAGGTTTAATAACTTTTTCTATGAGTAATAATAAAAAGTATTTTTGTGATTAAGATAATGCCATGTCTTTGACATAGTAATATGGACATGTTTATTTTTTTAAAATTTATGAAGTATTTAGCCTTGTTACTTAATGGGTCTTGTTACTGTCATCTCTGAGCACCTTGCAGTCTTTAATGTGTTTATCCTCACAACACCCTGTATGGTAGGAGGTGCTGCTGTTCCCATTTTTCAGATAGATGTACAGAGAGATTAAGTGACTTTACTAAGACATACCCGGATGGTTGGGTAGAATAGTAATTGGCCAGGGGCAACTCAGGTTGTAGGCTATTTCTCTAATGACTGTATCAATTCTTCCTAACTTCAGATATGAGTAATTATGAAATTGTGTGCATGCACGCGCACACACATTATCTAAAGAGACCACCTCAGCCCAGCTTCATCATGCATAGTCAGAGAACAGAAAGAGAGAACCTAAGCTTTTCAGCATGTTTGGAAAGTTAGCATATCTGGGATTTGGCAGAGCAAAGAGGAGAGAATGCTTCACCAACAGCCTCTTTGAAGGCTGGGGAAGAGTGAGAAGCTGCCTCAACAGTATAGCATGATGCAAACATAACATGTATCATGTATGTTTGTATTCAATCTGAACGTAGTTTAACAATTTAAGAACAAAATTAACTTCTCCAGATTATGGAGAGGGAGGGCTCTTTAAAGTAAAGAGTCATCTTGCTTTTTGAGAGATTTGTATGTGAATTTGATCTACGTAATTAGGCATTGAACATTATACATTTATGAGGCACAACAAACATAAGAAGCTGCCTACAGTCCAATTCATATGTTCTTATTTGGTAAACTGTATGCATAGTAAACAGCTTTTGGTTGCTGATAAGGCCACTGCTGAAATAGATAGATTATGGCAAAAGGCTTGCTACAAGTTTTTTTGAAGTTATTTTATTTCATTATTTTAGACAACTCTTAGACAGTTATTATAGAGAATCCTAGATTACAGTTTACTGTACTTCTAAATGGTTTCAGTCTGCAGTAACCTTTTGTATGAAAATTTAGGTTATAATTTAACTTTATAAAAGAATAAATGCTGAGGTCTCATTTTTAATTCTGCCAGATAGCTATTAACAGTTTGAAATCTGCTGAGCAATGAAACCAATGGGTGACCTTCCAGGATCACCAGCTGTTTTATGAAATTTATTTCTGTAGAAGTCATTTTACACGTAAAAAAGCTTTTTTTGATTTTATGTAAACAAAAATGAAGGAGTATCTAGTGACTTTTCCCACTGTGCATTTATATGACTTTTTTTTTTTCTAAAGCATCTCGCTTCTAAAATAATTCATATCCATAGGCCAGCATTTGTTAATCCCTTAATTCCTGAGGGCACAGAGGAGGAAGAAATCTTCAAGAAAGGAGAATGTATGTAATATTTCATGTATGCTTTATGGTGGTGGGAAACTCTATATAGATTCATTGCAGTAACTAAGTGGAGTTCAGAAATTCTGCTAGCAAGACTTGCTTCTAATTTATTTAAGATCAAATTTACTTCCATCTCACACATGTGCTAGTACCTGGAGATAAGTCCAAACCATGAATTTTTAATCTCGATTTTGAAACATTCCCCCCCCCCCCAAATCTTATCTCACATGCAGGGATTTAATTTAGACCATATCTAGTTGTATCAATTTTAAAATACTATTGTAGTACAGTAAACTTCTGATATTCCGGCACCTTTAGGACCCAGGGGGTTCTAGATTATCAAATATGCCAGACTATCGGAAAGGGGGGCTATGAGGGGTCTGGGGTGGGGTGGGGGGGATGCCACCCCAGACCCCTCATAGCCCTCCCTTCCAATAGTCCAGCTCTGCCCCAAGCATCCCCGATTCAGCTGCTGCTGGTCA